CAAGGTAACAGAGGCACATATTCCATTTGAGGCCACGTAGCGTATTATCCATAAGACGTTCAAACGTGGCAGGCGTGTTACAAAGCCCAAAGGGCATGACGTTAAATTCATATAGTCCGTCTGGGGTAATAAATGCCGTTTTTTGGCGATCGGCTTCTGCCATTGGGACCTGCCAGTAGCCAGACCGCAAATCTAGCGACGAGAAAAATTCCGCTCCGTGAAGGGTGTCAATGGCGTCATCAATGCGCGGCAAAGGATAGACGTCCTTGCGGGTTATCTTATTCAAACGACGATAGTCCACGCAAAATCTGATAGATCCGTCTTTCTTACGCACAAGGACGACGGGAGACGCCCAGGGACTGTGAGATGGTCGAATGACGTCTCTACGAAGCATATCTTCGACTTGATCGTTGATGACGCGGCGCTCTTCAGCGGAGACACGTATGGTCTTTGACGCAGTGGCTGGTGTAGGCCGGTGTCAACATGATGTTTGACTTGTGATGTGCGGCCCAGTTGAGGTTGCGACACATCGAACGAACTTCTGAACTCATGGAGAAGATCCAGCAGCTCGGCATGTTCGGTGGGAGTGAGAGTGTCGGCAATGGCGCTGGAAAACGTATCATCGGACGACTCCCCGAGTGCCGACAGTGCTTTGGGGTGGTCGCAGTAGTCGTCCGGGACATCAAACAAAAACGAAGGGTCGAGATCCTGCACGCGGCCGAGACATTCCCCCGCAAGCAATGTGACAGGTGTGGAAAGCGGATTGCTTACGAACATGTTGCTTTTTCCGGCGGCAAGGTCAATTGTTGCGAAAGGCAGCGGCAAAGCTCGACGACATTTGAAGATATCGGAAGGCATAAAAAGAACTGTAGCGTCAGTGTAGGCGTTGCATGAAACGGGAACAAGGGCGAAATTTCCAGGCGGAATATCGGTATCTTCATGAACGAGCAACTTCGGCGGCTGATGAGGAGCGTCCAGTAATGGGGCATCACACAAGGGTGAAAACTCAACTTCGGCGCGTGCGCAGTCTATGACGGCATTATGGCGGGATAGGAAGTCCCACCCGAGGATGACGTCATGCGAACAGACAGGAAGAACAATAAACTCCACGATGTAAAGAATGCCTTCGATGGATACTTTTGCAGTGCAGGCTGCGAGAGGCGTTACTTGCTGTGCGCTTGCGGTGTGAAGCGACAGTCCCGAAAGCGGCGTCGTTACTTTGCGTAATAAACGGCAGAAATTAGCGGCAATAACAGAAACAGCGGCGCCAGTGTCCACAAGGGCGAAAGTACAATAACCTTCAACAGTTACTGCGACCACGTTAGCGGGAGAGAAGCGAGGGCTTTGACAGTTCGAAAACGGCGCAGTTCTTGCCTCTTGAACTGCGTTGCTTAGTTTTCCTGGTCAGAAGGTCTGGGCCGGCGACGCATGGGGGAGGGCGATCGCCGACGAGGAGAGGGTGCGCGTTGCGGCTGGAAGTCAAGGTGGTCAGTAGGCGCATAGCGAGGTGGTGAGACCGGCCCGTATTGGACGAAGGGTTGGCTGCCGGGATGCGGCGACCGGGCATAGTTGCCGAACGTCTGAGGTCGACGGCGGCAGTAGCGAGCAACGTGTCCGGGAGTGAAGCAAGCGTAGCAAATCGGTCGGTTATCGGGCGTCCTCCAGGTATTGGCGACTGGTGCTGCCGCCCAAGGTGCAGTATAAGCAGCCGGGTGTGCGGGCTGTGAGCGCGTGGTGTAGGGTGGTTGCGGGAGCCTACGTACAGCGTCTGCATATGTGAGCGGCGCGGCTACGGGCTGCATCTCTTGCGAAAAGGCGACAGGAGGAGCCACAGGCTGCGTTGCATAGGTGAGGGGCGCGGCCACAGGCTGAACGGCTGGCGGATAGGCGACAGGAGCGCCTACCGGCTGTGCGACACCCGGGCAGTGACCACGGCTAGATAGAGGTGGCTCGTAGTGCGCAAGAGGAACAGCTTGTGCAACCTCTTCCGATAAAGCAGTGCGAAGCGCGGCAGGTAGACGGGTGGTGTTCTCGTGAGTAAAAGGCACTAGGGAAAGTTGGCGGGCGACTTCCTCACGGACGAAAGCTCGGACTTGCTGAAGCAATGGTGAATTGTCGGGCATGGAGTCGAAACTGGACAGCGACTCACCACCAGGCTGAGGCTGCCTAGTCAGAGTGCGTTGCTTCTTCAGCTCGTCGTAGCTCTGACACAAGCTGACGACTTCAGAAACTGTGGTTGGATTCCTTGCCAAGAGCATTTGAAATGCGCCGTCGTCGATGCCCTTCAGGATGTTTTTGACCTTGTCAGATTCGGGCATGGTGTCATTCACACGTCGACAAAGGTCGACGACGTCCTCAATATAGCTGGTAAAGGTCTCGCCAGTCTGCTGAGAGCGGACGCGCAAGCGCTGTTCTGCCCTCTGCTTGCGGACAGCCGGCCGACCGAACACTTCAGCACATGACGTCTTGAAGACGCTCCATGTGGGGATGTTGTGTTTGTGGTTATTAAACCACAATTCGGCGACGCCAGTGAGATAGAATATCACGTGGCCCAGCTTGTCGGCTTCATCCCACTTATTGTTGGCGCTCACCAGTTCGTAGTGCTCGAGCCAGTCTTCGAAGTCGGTCCCATCCGCACCGCTGAAGACCTTCGGCTCCCGTAGCCTAGGATGGCCAGGGCAGTTGAACTGGAGCGAAGGCCTCGATGTAGTGGCGTTGGCAGTCATGACAGGTAGTAGCGTGCGGCTTCGCAGCTCCAGGGTGTAGCAACGGGGATTAACAGCACCTTCCACCAAATGTGAGGAGGTTTATTAGCCGTTAAAGACAGCGACGAGACAGCGTGAGGAACCGTCCAGCGATCGGCACAGCAACGAACCGAAGCACGAGCCGAGAGAGCCGGGCGTTGGCGATGCTGCTCGCTGCAGGCACATCTTCTTCTTCACACAACAATTAACTATTATTTACTGAATTGAAGTGATCAGCCTACACTTGAACAACACTTTCAATATGCTATTGCCTATTATCTTGAAGGTTTGTAAAGTAAATTGAGCACCATAGTTATAGCGGTCAGGACGATGCCAAATGAAAACAAGGCACTACTTTTTCTACTCCTTAAAAGTCTGAACAAACTTGATTCAGCTTTTTGACCATCAGGTGAGTAATTTTCGACAGTAAAGTGACATTGTGCCACAAGGCTTACCACGTCCTTTTTTCAGGAAGGTTGGAAGGCTTTGTTAAATTGATATTTCCTTATGTATGATCTTTTCCTAAAGATGCTCACATCACAGAGTTCTGTCCAGTTATGGATGACGCGACATCCACAGTGATGGTTTTCGGTAGTACTACCGATAATTTTCAGCAAGCGAGACTTCGTATTGTACTTCCCACTTGATACATAATTGCCGTTCTACAAGAAGTTGTTGCAACAGCTTACCTGTAGAGCTGCTTTCCTTTCCAACATAATTTTCATAGGGGCATGAAGCCCCTGAATGGATCGAGCAGTGGCCAGTTGCATCTTTCTAGCATTTTCCTCGAACTATAAAAAGGGAGAGAAATAGTTTTATGTACATAAACTCGTCAAGCAGCTACAAAGCAAACGTACATGTTTTTCCGATTCCTCCAACGGGTGGGAAGCGGCGAGGTTGTTTCTCACGCTGTAAAACCTGAAGATGAAAATCAAATAAATTATCCACCAATCGAGATGCATCCTCAAGAACATTATAAAAGTCTGTCCGGCCCTTTGAGACTCACCCGTAACGCATAACTTCGGGCACACCATAAGCGCCATGCTCCATCGACGCAGGCTTCTTCGCAGAGTCTGTGAGTCTCAGTGGTGGAAGACTCATCTGACGAGAAAAAAAAAAAAAAAAACGGTGAAATGATGTAGTTCACAGCGTCAACACGGGAGCCCACATAAGCATCCTCACATCACCAACCGTGCTTTCAAACGGCTGCACATAAAAATCGTTGTACCAGTCTAGTTAGGGCCTTTCTACTATCGATACACACATTAAAATGTATACCACAGTCATGGGAAGACAAGTGATTATGCCGTATTGTAACAAATCCGAAAACATCGCTGTGCGCAACGCGACATGACATGCAAAGATTGATTCGCGGAGTCGTTCGCAGTTAGATTCTGCAGCTTAGCTTCGCCAAAGGTTTTAATACTTGGGAGTTTTTTAGGCGCATGTAATTACTATTAATTACAGTAAACATCGCAAGCAGCGATGTTTACAATAAGTTAGCAAAATAAGGCGTATAGAGCACTTACCTTGAAGCAGTGAACAAGCAGCTTTTAAACAAAATGGCCGGCTGAATATTAAACAGAAAAAGCATTCGGCACTTTGAGCGCCACCTAGAAAACTGATTTCGTTTCAGGGTTTCGATTTTAAACTTATCTATTGTAGTTTAAATGTGTATTGGATCTCTTCTATTACATCGCATCTTCTTTGAATACTTAAAAACTTTACCTGTGTTTTATAAACATAAAGCGATCATTTATAAAATAAAACAAGCTTGTTTCGCTTTGCACAGTTTTGTCACCGAAAACAGTCTAAATATTGTTCAGTTTCGATTTCGGTTTCTTATTGGTTAAAATGTATTTCATGTTCGTATTGTATCACTTCCCAATACTTTGTATCCCATAGCTGCCATTTCAACATGCGGGAGCTTCACGCAAGCTCATTACAAATATACATCGATTGTAAGCAAAGTAGAACAATTTTACACAGTTTCGCCACCTAAAGCACTGTCTAAATATTGTTCAGTTTCGATTTCGGTTTCCTATTGGCTAAAATGTACTTGATGTTTGTATTGCATAACTTCCCATTACTTTGTATCCCATAGCTGCCGTTTCAACATGCGAGAGGCTCACGCAAGCTCATTGCAAATATACATCAATTGTAAGCAAAGTAGAGCAAGCTCGTTCCGCTTTGCACAGTTTTTAGTCTGTGTTTGTTTGGGGCGGTGTGTTTAATCAGCGGCGTAGCAACCACGTGAGCAAGCGAGCGACGGGAGCGGAGCGCACGGCCCGCGCTCCGCTTTCCCCCGCCGGTTATTTCTCCCGCGCTTGAACATCAGCTGAACAGCGCCGGACTCCGCCTCCGCGGGCCCTCGCCCTACGCTGACCGGAGCTATGCGCGACGCTATGTTGGACCGCGTCGGGGAGCCGTAGGCTGTCGATGCATCCACGTGCTTTAGGTGTTTCGTCGTACTCGTAGCTGGATGGACGTTCCGCGTTCTCTCGAGGATGACATCATGGGCAGCCGTCGCGAAAACGTGGATTTTGATGCAGCTCTTGTTGTTGTGCCGGACATTGCACGTCGGAGACCGTGAGTATAATTGGCACTCCAATAGGTCATTTGACGCTTATGAACACTTGTTAAAAATGCCAAATACATAGAATAATTAACGGATTACAAGAAAATGAGTTATGTTCATTTTATGACTGCACCATTGTTTATTACTGTCATTTAAAATTTCGCAATGCTCGAGTTTTACATTAAGATGGACTTAATACAACGCAAATGAAGTTGCTTCTCGATAAACGATTTACAATCCTATTTTCGAAATGCGCTTTTCTACAAAATGCTATATCTACAAGTTCTGCTTATTCATTTACTGTACCGAGTGTACTACGAGGTAGGCTCAAACACTGCTGACTACCCTGGCGATTCGCTTGGAGCCGCTGCTAGCTGAAGCTTTATCGACTGCCTGGATATGCCTATCGATAAATATGTTTGATATATCATTGACCAATAGGTTCAAAATTAGAAGTTCGTATTCTGAACGAGTTAGAGATTGTGAGAAATTAATTACGGCTGTCATCACCAGATAGAAAAATAACACGCAGGCCGCACGTGTGTTGTGTGGAGTAAAATACCTGGCGCAACGGACTGCGTTCACACTTCGTGTAGATTTTATTATTGGTGCAATATACTGCCTTCCACAAATCCACACACACACACACACACACACACACACACACACACACACACACACACATATATATATATATATATATATATATATATATATATATATATATATATATATATATATATATATATATATATATTGTGTGTGGTTTCAACTCGGCACCTGGTAAGTGATATATTTATGTACCTTACCATGCAGCTGCCGGAAATGTTCGAATGTAGTGCCTACCGGGATTTTTTTTCAGAACGCTGCACACGCTGCAAGGAGTATAGTTGGAAGCGCAACTGAGGTCACTTGAATTCTTCTTAGTAATTGTTTTATTTTTCCTAACATAACCGTCGGTTTTCCGGGCTTTTTTTTTTTTTTCGCTGCTTGTACTCTTGTCAAAGACATGTGTGCAAATGGCGCATTCGACCAAACGTACTGAACATCAAGTCAATATGAACTTACATCGGTATTCATAGTTATATACACTACATTTACGGTCGTAACTATCTTACCCTGTTTACGAAGATGTCTTGCATAAAACGATGCATGACGAACCCCCTCCCTCCCGACATATGCACCAACTCCCACCGCACCAGGCCCGCCCACCGTGAAAATTTTCCTGCAGAGTCATTACAGTGGCCTTGGCTGGAAAATCTCGGTTGCTCACTTTTGTTATCATCAGTACTAGAGTGTAACATGCATAACACATGCACACAACCGAGGAAACTCGATAGGCATACATGACCATAACAGCTCTAACGCTTTCCCTTATCGTTTTTTTTTAACCGGTGTTGCATTACTGAAGCCGTGCCCTATAAAAAAAATCTCCATGCCCGTGTGTAATGAAATTCACTTCTATAAAGTACCATACTTTACATTGCCGCTTTACGCGCTTAAATTTACATTGCAGGAATATCAAATGTATGCGGCGAATGTTGCATGTGACTCGGTTAAACGAAGAAAAAGAAGTTTTTGTTTTGTCAACTACAGCCATCCGTGTTTCACCAAATAGCGGACATTGAACGGAACGTATACACATAATTTTTGTAAGAGTGGATATTGCAATTTTCAAAAGAAAAAAATCGTGCCTAATTTTGAGCACGTCTGTGGCTAATGCCCAAACAGAAGCTGTTTGCGGAATGACCAGTGCATACTCGCTTTGTGAAATCAGGGGTGCCAGATAATGTTGGCTATATGGCGAGAAAGCGGGATTGACTCCAAAATTGAAACGCGTAATGTTCTTTTTTTTTTTTTGTCGGGTGCGTACATATAATGAAGGATAAAAACGTTATATACTTAAATAGCAATTGTGCATACGTTAAGCATAATTGTCTCATGAGATTATCTTTTTTTTCTTATCGTACCTCAACTGCACCGATTGATGCGCTATCGCATCTTGACTGTTGATTCGTGAATGGTTTCTGCGATGCATGGAGTTACAATCGAGCAGTGATGTTTTGCTACACGTAGTAAAAAAAAAACTGCGGTAATGTTCTTAGTTTTTAAGCGAACCAATGTCGCGGTTGCCGATATGCAACGTTCTGTAACTTTATAAGCACGCCGGGCCTTCTCACGCAACTAGCCAAAATGGCATTGACTGCGTTAATTGTCGCTAGTTGTGATGCTGACAAGGGTATTTTGAAAGAATAGATATTGTCGGGAACATAGGACGAATAATGATACCGCCATCTGCAGCTTGGATGCTGACACATCAATTACAATTCTACATGCCACTTGAGCTCTATCCCCACGGTTATGTCAAACTGTGTGTGCGTTGAAGCGCACTTGAAGGTTTATTATACAAAATTTTTATTTATAATTATCTCATATATCAGTCTGAGTTGATTTTCTCATCTAACATTCACAACCATGGAAGATCCGCAATCAGAAACTTCTTGCATAGAAGATGCCCACAAGGAAATGTTTCAGCTAACCGTGATGCCGGACATTTGATTAGCCTAGGCCAGTGAGCACACGCGAAAGAAACGTTCTGTGAATTCAACTCCGAGAATCCGAGAACATTCATGGTGTCGCCGCCTGATGCTTGCGTATACCGTTAGCAGGGGCGTAGCTAGGGTTGGGAGTGTAGAAGGTTGGCACCTTCCCTTCCCCTACATGTTTCAATGTTTCTTTCGTATGTAGACTATTTTACGGATAGGTTTAAGTGCCATTATATTAGGCTGTTAACTTTCGGTAAGTGTTAGTAGACGCGTGCGTATGAAAACGGCTGGGTTTCCCCCTCACTTCCAGTTGAGGCAACCAGCGTTTTAAATCGCATGTGTTCTTCTTTTCACTCTCACTACGCTTTCCAGTCCTTTCGTCCGGTGGAGTTGAGGACTGTTGAAAAGAAATGCTGAGATATCAAATCGAATCAAAACAAACTTTATTTCGTCCACAAGTTTGTTTGTTGTGGAACACGGAGGCTCGAGAAAAAGCGGAACTATCCACTTGAGAAGCCTCGAGCCACCGTTTTACAGGGCACACAACGAGAGCGCACAATACATATGCAGTTTTTTTATTAAACATAAACCTAAACTAATGCTACAGAACAATACAATAGTTACAAGAAATACAATATAATATTAAATTTATACATTGATAAATCCTTCCCAAATCATGACAACAAAATGAACTTTCCTTTACACAATCTTTAGGTGGAAAAAGAAGAAATACAGAAAATTTTGGAAGTGTATCGAACAGAAGCTGTACCCTTTACAAGAAGGCAATGGATTAATTTTCGGTGACCAAAAAAAAAACGCTTTGATTGCATGGTTTCAAGTTGTTTTTAAGTCAATGCCACATTTATGCAGTTCATTCAACAGTTTTGGAAGTTTATGACGAAGAATTTGTTGTGTTAACATGAGTCACGAAAGTGGCATTTGCTTGATATGTATGTTCTTCACAGCTGATGCATGCACTGTCCAAGCGCTCCCCCAGGGGTGCTATATCTCTCCATTTTGTTTCGTACATGTGTAATTATTGAATATACCTCGCGTAGACTAACTTCCGATATTTGATCGGAACAATGACAGACTTCTTTTGTGCGCAAAGTTGTTGTGTATGTCATGTCTTGACTCCTCCTGTGTCGAAACCAGCCGCCTGTGTGTTTCCCGCTGCTCACCGCAAGCGAGGTTGGCGGTATGGAAATGTCGCCCACCTCTCCGATACCCCATTGAAAAAAAAAAAAAAAATCTGCTGAGGAACAAATAAGCAGCTGTAGGCGTGCAACGCCAGCGATCCGTGCGTCCTGCCACCTTGTTAGGTGAAAAGGAATCTCATCAAGTAGCCCTCAATCGGTTCCAAGGATCGCCAACTACAGTGCTAGGCACTAAAACACAATCTTCTTTGCTTCCGTTTTCCATGTGCCTCAGAGATACCAGGAACGCGAGATCAGAAATTAAATGCAGATGTGTATCGAAAATGGGAACTTTTAAGAAATTAATAACCTTAATATTTCACCTCCGACACCCCTCCCTGCACTCCTATTTGCACCTTGCTCTCTTAATATTCACCCCTAAACGATTTCCCACTAGAACCATGGTACCTTGATGCATGCACAAGCTGGGTGCCGCCAAGGCATCAACCAATATCAAAGGCACCCGCGTCTTCGAGCGTTCCGTTCGTTATGCCTGCCACTTCTCTCCTTTGTCCGTCGCTCGTTTGACTGGTTGGTTCTTTCAGCGTTATGCACCAACTGACCCAGACTTCAAACTGAATCTTCCAACGATTGTCATGACACGTCGCGGTTGTCTCAGACGTCGAAATGTGCTCGGTGGTGCGCGCGTTCTCGACGAGTAGACCGTGAGAAAATGAAGCTGACCGTGAAGAAGAACCAGAAGACGGAAAGCGGCGATGTGTGACTGAGGGTCCAGACGCGTACACAGTACGGCGCTTCTTTCTCTCCGGGAGCCGTGCTTCGGTCGTACGTTTCTGTTCGTGGCGAACACGCAACTCTCCGCGCCTTTCGTGCCTCCCTTTCAGTTTGCGATTCCCTGGCTCTCTGCTTCGCGTTGAGGCATCTAGACAGGCCCAGGAATGCATGTATACACAAAACGTGCCGCCCGCCGAAGCACCTGTTCCGCACCGGGTCGTGTAGAACCGCAGTAGGTTTACCGGCTGTGGCGAGAGCGGGCGTATAAATACATGTCACTGGAGCTGCAGTTCGCCGATAACATCGGAGTTAGCAGAGAAAAGTTGAAAGCCATCTTTCTTTTTGCCGTTGTTTCTTTCTCTTAAAATCATGACGTGGGTCTAGAAGGCATCAACATATTTTAGGCGCCCCAATGGTGCATGCCACCACGAGTTATGTGTACCCCATGAGAACGTCATGAGAACGCCCCGCCGCGGTGGTCTAGTGGCTAAGGTACTCGGCTGCTGACCCGCAGGTTGCGGGATCGAATCCCGG